TAGCATGAATATTAGAATTGTTAATATTTTATATAAATTGGTTCTTTTACCAGTTCATTGACAATACAAGATAGTTATAATACTAATTCATTTGGTTTCTCTTGACTTGTATGCTTTTGTTACATATTTTAAGATTACAGTATTTTTGAATTCTAGACGTCGTTATTATAACTGTTGTAAATACTCAGTATTCTTTTAGATTTATCCATGTTTGCCATTTCCATTGCTTTAATTTTTTTTCCTTGATTTGCATCAACCTGCCTGACATTATTTTTCTTTTTTCCAAAGAATTGGGATGACTAGCGACAAGTTCTGTTTTTTGTTTGTCATAAAATGTTGTTATTTTGCTTATGTTAGTGAGAAAAAACTTTTCCTCTACCTTCTTAGGTTCTGTTTTTGGGTTCCCATGAATTAAATGGACAATAGACAGATTAGCAAGAGAAAAGACAGATTTTTTTAGTCTTAAATAAGTACATGGGAGTTCACAGAGAAATGTGTCTCAAGGAAGGGATTAAAATTTGTAGCTCATATACCGTCTTAATAAGAGAAGGGAAGATAGTGAAGGGCACTTTTTGGAAAGCAGGTGACTTTTGGGAAAGATAGATGGGCCTTTAGGAGAATAGATAGAAGATATAATAGTTTTGACAATATCTGTTAATGTGATTTTTTATTCCAAGGCTAATTTCCCATCTTCGTTAATGAAAGTCAATCTTTTTTGGTTGTGAAACTTTGTGGAAAGGGATTTATGAAAGTTTAATTCTTTGGAGAGTCTGCTTTTAGGCAGATAAGGGGAGTTTAGAAAAAGACTCTTCACAGTGGTATAATCTGGACCTTTTCCTTATTGAAAGATATTTTTTGAGTGTAGAATTCTTGGCTGGTATTTTTTTGTTTGTTTCTTTAGTATTTTTAAAAGGTCATTGTATTCTTGATTCCATCAGACTTACTGTTGCTCCTTTGAAGACAGTTGTCCTTCCTCCTTTTACTTACCCCCTACCCCTGACTACTGTGAAGTTTTTTTGTCCTTGGTAATTTTACTGTCATATGCCTAAGTGTGGTTTTCTTTTATCTTGTTTGGGGTTTGTAGTACTCCATCAACATATGGCTTAGTGGTTTTTTCCAGCTTTGTAATATCTTGGTCATTATCTCTCTTCAAATATGTGTCTGCTCTCTTTTTGTGCTCCAAATACACTTATGTTCTACTGTGTCCTGTATGTCTGTTATTTATTTTGTCAAATTTTGAATCTTTTTTTAAAACTTATTTATTTTTTTACTATGTTTCGGTCTAGTTGTCATTGACCTATCTTTCTAAGTTTGTCCTTCTTAGGCTGAGTTTAATAAGTAGGTAAATCTATTCTTTTTTTTTTTGAGACAGTGTCTCACTCTGTTGCCCTGGCTAGAGTGAGTGCCTTGGCGTTAGCCTAGCTCACAGCAACCTCAAACTCCTGGGCTCAAGCGATCCTTCTGCCTCAGCCTCCCGAGTAGCTGGGACTACAGGCATGCGCCACCATGCCCGGCTAATTTTTTCTATATATTTTTAGTTGTCCGATTAATTCCTTTCTAATTTTAGTAGAGACGGGGTCTCGCTCTTGCTCAGGCTGGTCTCGAACTCCTGAGCTCAAACAATCCGCCCGCCTCGGCCTCCCAGAGTGCTAGGATTACAGGCATGAGCCACTGCGCTCGGCCGGTAAATCTATTCTTATTTTCATTTTTTTTTTTTATTCTGTGGTTTCCATTCTCAACTGGAATTCTTTATTGTACAGTCTATTATTCTAAACATATTAACTACATTTATTCCAGTGTCCAGATATGAAACTTTACTACTTGATTTTCTGTGAGTCAGTTTCTATTTAGTTTTTATTCATTTCTTATTGTTTCTTGTGTCTGTTAATTGGTGATTGAATGTTGGAAATTATATTTTAACATTGCAACAGTAAATTTAAGTCTCTGTATGATATTATCTTCCTCTAGAGAGGACTTCTGATTTTTGATTAGCAGTTAGACTATGGGCTGATTATATTAATTTAGGTCCTGAGCTGATTCAAGGCTGGAATTTTTTAGTCTTTGTGGAGTTGGCCTACTCCTAGCATGTAGCTGTTCTGTGATTTCCTGAAAACCTGGGGTTTGACCACAGCCCTCCTACATTGGTATTTCTCTGTTTTTCTCCTCACTTTGAATGTTTCGTTTAGCTTTTTGGCTACCAGTTAATCTAGCTACAAATCACCAGAGTATTGTTTGATGTTTCAGTGTTTTGAGGCCTGGTCTATTAACTGTTTCCTAGAGTATACCTGGATGTCTGCTGAAAGTCTGGGTAGTCTACCAGGACCTCTTCACCTTGACAGAATGTGAACGTCAGTTTTTGTCTACCTAGCTTTATGAGACTGGTGACAGCTCTGTCTAGCTTCTCTGTTCTTACTTGTGAATAGCAAATTCTTTAATGAGAAAAGTCACGCTGAATGTCTTCTGTGGATTTTTGCTGCTTAAATCTTGGCTGCCTTAGCAACTTTCTAGTGCCTTTAAAAAGATTAAAACACAAATTTAATCCAGTATTTTTAGTTGCTTTTGTTAGGTGGATAGTCTGATTGAAGCTAATCTGCTGTTGCCAGAAAGATAATCTTGCTATTACATTCTGAAGTTATTTAGTGTGAAATAATGGTACCTCATTATGTATGATGTCAGAAGAGGAAAGTAAATATTCCTTCCTCTCCAAAATGACATGTTACTTTTAAGCAGGAAATAATCATATATGTTATTTGTGTATACATATATTTATTTGATAATACTCATCTCTTACAGGTTGCTTAGTCAAACAATGAAGGATCATCTAGTAAGAGTAGCAAATGAAGCTGAATTTATTCTGAGCAGACAAAGAGCAGAGGATATTCACAGACATGCGGAATTTGAGGTAAGTTACTTATGGTTGGTGTGAGAAAGTTACTGTTTTTAATGGTAATCCTGGGAAACTACCCAGGTATAATAAAATGGCAGTATGGTCTAAGGAAACATTTAAATATCATCAAAAATTTAAAAATTAAATTTTTTAAATTTTAGAAATTTAAAAATTTTAAATTCCCAGAGTTATGGGGATTCTGGGAAGATAGTACAAGTCTCTTTAGCTTTCTCATTTAAACTCCAGTTCAGCTATAGAGTAGCTTCTATGTTTGGCTGACCTGATCTTAATAATGGGAGCTGGGTCTTGGTCTCTGATGGTTTTCCAGTAAAGAAAATTAGTGAAGGACTTTGGCTCTCTCTGGGCAAAACACAGCTAGTTAACCAGAAATGAAAATCTCTATGGCAAAGATGAGATCTTCCAGGTTTCTAGAGAGGAGCTGAACACAGAGATGTGAAGGTTCTCTACTCTTGAGGTTTGAGAGCATAATAATCTTTGTAGCTGAGGAAATGAAGGAACATACAGTTTTCTTCCTGGATTCTTACCGGGGGATGAAGTGATAGACCCATCCTGGGACCACTGCTCATCTCAGCAGTTGCACCTGAACATATGTAACAAAAATGAATTCATAGAGGAGATTAATGGCTTTGTTGCTGTATAAATGACCAAAATTCACATAAGGTGAATTAGAAAATTTGACATGAACATTTGCTATAAAAGTAGAAAAAAATTAAAAAGCCCTGTATGGGTTCTTTCTAACATAGATAAACTCATATGTTGCTTATATTTTTCTGGTACATTAGAAGAGATGAAAACCACTCCAAGTACGTTTTATACAACCATCAAACCTGAAAATTGTTCTAAAAAAATAAAACTCTGGAAGACCAATTTCACTTAAGAATATAGGTATAAAATTTAAAGTAGTATTTTAGCTAATGTAATTCATCAATATAATGAAAGAATTATGTAAGATTACAACTGAGAATCTTTCCTGGAGTTCAAAGATGATTTGTTTTTGGATATCTAACTACAAAATAAATTATGCTAACAAATTAAAATAGAGAAAACATGTAAAGATATCAATAAATATAGAAAAAGCATATGATAAATTTAAGCAGCCAGCTTTATTAAAATTCAGAGAAAAAATTTATCTAAGAAAGCAATCTAAATGTGATAAAACTATTTATTAAAGATCATTTAAATGGTTAAAGCCATTTCTATTAAAATCAGGAAAAATGAGTGATACCTACTGTCACTGTTATTATTTAATATATTCTTGCAAGTACAAGATATAGCTAATATCAATGCTGGAAAAGAAAAAATAAGATTACTAGCAAATTTCTAATGCTGCAGTGTAGGAAAACCTAAGAGATTCTGGAACATTTTCATACCAGAATTAATAAGGGAATTTGGTGAAATTATTGGATACAAGATAGATATGCAAAAAATTAATAGCTTTTTTTTGATAAGCAGTAACCAGCTAAGAATGGAAATCAGAAATATAGTGTATTCACAGTTATGATGAAAACATTGTTTTGGGTCAGGTGCTCTTTGGAACAAAACCATAAAATCTCATTAAAGGGTAGAAAACAAAATATAAACTAGGAGAAAGTTATTCCATGCTGGAGAGTGTATCTTGAGTTCTTGGTGTGTGTGTGAGTGAGAGAGAGAGGGAGAATATCAGCATTTAATTTTCATATTGTCTAAATTTATAACATTCATGACTTATAATCAAAATTCTGATAGTACTTGAGTATTTGTTCTACATATAAGTGAATTCAGTACTATACCTCATCTCCCCATTTTATTAGTCACAACTTCTTAATTTCCAGATTCCTTCTTTGACTCAATTCCTAATTGGCTAGGTTTCATCATCATTCTTTTTTTCTACAAGGGGCTCATGTGTGCTGTAAACTTCAAATTCTTTCATGTTTAAGAATACTTGCCTGCTGTCTTTATATTTGGATGACATTCTGATTGGTTAATATTGTTGGTTAACACCTATATTTCCTTATAACTTTGTAGACATTGCTTCATTGTTTTATGGCTTTGAATGTTGCTTTCAGAGGACAGTTGTATTTTTCAATTTTTGATTTGCTTTTTCTATGTTCTGCCTGAGATTTCTTTGTCCATGAAATTCAATTTCTTAACAGCAGTATGGCTCC